ACATTCTTTTTGGGACTCCAAGTTAAGCAAATGAAAGATGGAACGTTCATTTGCCAAGCTAAATACTGCAAGGAGCTCCTAAAACGGTTTGAAATGGACAACGCCAAAGCCATGGCGACCCCGATGAGCACGTCTGACCATCTTGACAAAGACGAGAAAGGTAAGGAAGTAGAGGTCAAAAAGTATCGAGGTATGATCGGATCCCTTCTCTATCTTACCGCTAGTAGGCCGGATATCATGTTTAGCGTATGCCTTTGCGCGAGGTATCAATCATGTCCGAAGGAATCGCACTTAACCGCGGTGAAACGGATCATGAAATACCTTGTCGGCACGGTTAACGTTGGACTGTGGTATCCAAAAGGCTCTTCTTGTCATCTCGTTGGTTATTCCGACTCGGACTTTGCCGGTTGCAAATTAGACCGTAAAAGTACGAGTGGGACTTGCCACTTACTTGGTAGTTCTCTAGTCTCATGGTTTAGTAAGAAACAAGTCAGTGTTGCGTTATCCACAACCGAAGCGGAATATGTAGCCGCCGGCAGTTGTTGTGCTCAAATCCTTTGGATGAAGCAACAACTCGTGGACTATGGCCTTAGTATCAATCACGTACCTCTTCGTTGTGATAATACTAGCGCCATAAGCTTGACGAAGAACCCCGTTCTTCACTCAAGGACGAAACACATTGACATTAGGCATCATTTCATTAGAGATCATGTTCTCAAAGGTGATGTCGAAATTGAGTTCGTTGAAACACACAACCAATTAGCCGACATTTTCACAAAACCTTTAGAGAAAGAGTCGTTCTTCCGCATTCGAAGTGAACTCGAAATCCTTTACTCCACGATGATCTAAGTTGTGCATCTAAATTTACTGAACATTTACTAACTTGAGCGTCGGAGAACTTTTTCTTTTTTGCAGGTACCCCGTCCATAAAATCAGGGGGAACCATGCAAACAGCGCTGTCCCGGAGACACAACAGCGCTGTTTAGTGAAACACCGTCAACCAGAAAGTTCTTCAACAGCGCTGTCCATCTTAACCAACAGCGCTATCCCAGGGAGTACCTTACATTTTTACTTCCAGAAACTTTTTCAACAGCAATGTCGTTTAGAGCAACAGCGCTGTCCAATTTTACAAATTTTTTTTCGTAAAACAGCGATGTAAAGAAACCCAACAGCGCTGTTCAAATGGGTTCAAACCCTTTCACCATTCTAGAAACTTTTGAAACATCGCTGTAGGGCACTCAACATCGCTGTCTGTTTTACTCTTGCTTTTTTAAAACTTGACGCAGAACACCGTTGTACAAGGAACAACAGCGCTGTCCCAACAGCGATGTCGCCTCTAGAACATCGCTGTTCTGGTCAAATTTTTCAAAAAAAATATCCGTTGTACTCCGCTATTTCCCTTTATTAAATAAAATCTTTTTGGTTATCTTTTTGTTAATGTCAAAAGGGGGAAGAAAAGGGCTATGCATATACTAAGGGGGAACGTCTCTCTAAACAAGACCGTTTGATTTTAATCCAAGTAAATCTTTTTTTAAGCACAAATTAAGGGGGAACTTTTTCACAACTTTAAAAAAAAAACAAACATCCCTTAGTATGCATATCCCCGTCTTGTTTTCCATTATCAAAAAGGGGGAAATTGTTGGAACACGGGTTTACGCCTTCGTCGCACTAAACTGTGTTCGTTTATGACAGGTTTTGATAATGCCAAACCGCCGCGACATATCGAAGCTAAAGTGAGCAAAACTAAGGCGAAGGAACATGGCATGATGACTTAAGAACCAAGAACCCAGAATCAAGAACGAAGAACTAGAATTGTATTGAGTCGGTCTTAATGTGATCAAGACCGGCACAAAATTCCAAATCTTGGCTCTCTAGGCTTAATTCATAAAAATCTCTTTTACATATTCAAAAATACTTTTCTTAAAGTTTAAACTTGGGTCAAAACACTTGGAGTTCGCCCAAGCCAAAAACCAAGCCATTCGGCGTTCGGCTTTCAGAAACCGGCGTTCGGCTCTCGGTTTTCGGCATCGGTTTTTGGCGTCCGAACCAACCAAGTGGTTTTTAACTTTTTATAACTGGTTTTTACTTCTGGGCATATTTAAATAGTTCTCCAACAAAAACGCCTCAAAAACCACCTTCCGTTTTTGATCGTTTAGTGAAAACCATGCGAAACGGCACGAACTTGGCTAGCCGTGGTTTTCAACTAAATGACGTGGTTTTTAA